AGTGAAACCTTGTCATTGTTTACATAAAATGGGTTTTCTACTGCAGGAGTTGTTCACAAGATCATTAGCTCAACAATTTTATATCTGCACAAACAGGATCTGTGGCAGACGGTGACCTGACACCACCAATGAGCTCAAGTCCTTTCTCCAACAGAGACAATAAACTTCTCCACACTGTCCTTATTTATAGCTTAAACTCTAGGGAAGAAAATTACTAAGCACTTAACGTTCACAGCCTTCCGTCAGAGACTGCAGCCAGGGAAAGGTGCAATGGGAACCATTTTTGGGTAGTGGTTTAAGATATGGTGATCCCTCTACTCAAAAATAAATTACAGCCAGTAAATTTCCTTCACCTGTATTTTTATTTACAAAAAGGCACCCTGAAATACTTAACTGTCGCAGAGTGCAACCCTTCTAGACTACAGGTATTTTTACAAAGCTGGCTTTTAAAAACAGTTCCTCAGCGGGCAAAAAAATCAGCCATTTTTTGGTAAAGAATTTTTAAGCATTAGCACTAGAGTTAATTGATAAACTATTAAACTGTTAAGTTGTAATTTATAGCAGCTATAATGGCAACAGTGTCTGAGTGATCACCCCATGCTGCCACTAAAGACATACCTCATCTGTTATAGCATGAAATATTGTAAGATGGTTTGTAATGATGCATATATCTTGTTACCTGCTGATAATAACCTATCAGCAAGGACAACAGTTCAATTATATAGGACATCTCCTGCTGGCTTCCAAATATTTCTGCTGCTCTTCACTAATTTCTTAGCTAAAAAAGAATCAGTCTCCTTATTTTACACAAGTACGTTAATTTATGAAGGGAAGACAGAAAGCTTTTATTAGCTGCTGAGGTGCCTGAATTCTTTGTGTTATCATCATGATATAAAAATCTAGCCCATCTGCCCATAAATCCTGATGGATGGTGGAGAACAGGCCCCAGATAGGCTAAAGGATGTGGAGGAAATTCCAGACTAGACCTCCCACAGAGATGTGTAGAGTATTATCTCAGAGGTGGCACTCAGCCCTCGCCAAGTGGGATCTCTGCTTACACCAATACAGTACAGGCAGCTTGAATGAAATGTCTTTCTCTTATAGTCCTTCCTTCAGGTTCATTCTGAGCGTGGGATCATAGTACCCATCTTGGGAACAGCGCTGGCCCAAGAGAAGCAGAGGAGCCTTCAGTATGCAGGAACCTTTGAGATGGGCACCAGCAGCTACGGTTCAGTAGTTGACACAGAGGCAGTGAGAAGGTAAATTAATCTGGGATTAAGGATACAAAATCAGAAGTCCTTTTGTCTGTGAAAGAGTAATCTCACATAGTCCTATCCCTTTGAACTCCTGCTCAAAAAGGAATTTTGAGCATATATTTCCCTGAGGACCTATTAATAGTGCTGTCTACCAGAGTTCGGTCTTTGCAGAGACAAATACATCAGCTTGTTTGTTGATATGTCAGCACTTATTCCTGGAGTAAACTCCTGTCCTATCAAAGCCTGTAAAATTGGAATGAGAAATCTGGGTTGAGTGAGAAGAATGTCTTTAAATTTGGGAACTACTTAAAAAAGATTAAGAATTTGTGTCATACACATTTCTCTGAGTAATAAGTAGCCGATAATAAATAACTGATAGTAGAGATTTCCCCCTTCCATTTCTGAGCAATTACTTTTGAAATACTTTTGAAAATTAGAAATATTTTAGCATTGCATGCACAGCAAATGGACATGTTTGAGATGTTTTTGCTTTGCCTAAAACATTATGATTTGGTGTAGAAAATTGGAAATGTGTTACAATAATGAGAATTGGCACGGCATTACAGCCCTGTAGTTAAAATAACCATAAAAGTCACTATCTTTCATTATGAGTTTTTAAGTGCACAGAAAAAACTCCTGAAAAACATTAATTCAAGAGTTTTCACTCTCCCGGGTTTTAGCTCCTACTGATGGTGCAGTGATGAAATAGAGGATATAGCAATAAGACGGTGTCATGTAAAAAACAAGAGGAACAAAATATGTACTTTTATGCAGACAAACAAATTTGTTCCAACAGCTGAAGTTGGGCTGCTGTGCTTTACTGATCCCTGCAAGCAATAACACTGTGCTGGCCTGCAGAACAGCGATCTACTTTACAGCACAAAACACATTAGTTTGCATGTCTCATAGAGGGGCTGTTCCAGATCGCCCTTCTCCTTGCTGTGCTGGCTGCAGCAAGCTGAACTCCCCGAGCACAGACGAGGGAAAACCTGGGGCTGACAGAACCCTGCACCTGACATTGGAAGGTTTGTGTCAGATGTATTACTGGCCATGACCTGGAACAGACTGCAAGCCGAAGCAAGAAGGAACTTTCCGCTCTTCAGAAAAAAATCTAGCATTATGTTATCCATACTACTCAATTACTCCACATCAGCCTGTACCTCTGTCCCCTGTGATCCCTCTCTATTTTCAGTGAAGATCTAGGAAGCCTCAGAATGGATCTGACCATAATAATACTCTCTTTCCCAGAACAGCTGGCAAAGCTGACATTTATTGTTTGAGTTTGCAAAGCTAAAATGATTGTTACAGGCTATAAAGTCATACTACGTGCTCTTTGAGTTTAGAACAGTCCAGTACGCCCCCAATGAATTTGATACCTCTATTGATCTATAAAGATCATTTGTTTATACTAAATTGATCTATGAGTAGCTCCTTCCAAGATAAAATAACCAGGTGATACCTTTCCATTTATCTAGTACATGTCAAATAAGTTGGTAACTGTAAATAGAAATAAACACATTCATAAAAGGCAAAGGAAATGCTGTGCTACTGACTATTTGGGAAGTATAGAAAAACATATTGTGATAAGCATAATCAGGAATTTGTTCTGCAATATCAAACTCTCTTAAAAACAGCACAAATATACCCGCTGTATACAGGAGGAATCACAAGCTAGTGGTTGTATACAGTAAGGAGAATTTCCTCCTTTTACAGAGGTAATTTTGCAGGTTTTGACAAAACAATCCTTCAAAAGTTTCTGCCCCACACGTCTTTTTCCTCCTACCTTTTGGTTTCATTAGGTGGGAAGTGGTATTTGTAACAACAGACTTAGAAATGCATTTGCTTACTCAGGTTTACTAGCGGCTAATACCTCCCTGTTATACTGCAGTCAGCTACAGCAGGATTCCACTTGACTGCAGATTTTCAGTTCCCTGCCTGCATTTAATGCTCTTTCAAGTGTATATGCTAAGATGGCCAGTAACTTTTCTCTGAGCTTTCTATCTCTGTCCTTGCTATGTTAAGTAGGCTCACTGCAATATCTTTTTTTTCCTCCTCATTTCTGTTGTGTGAATTTGTTAGAAAACAATGACAACTTTTCACTGGCTAGCACCAATTCTCCATACTTGCTGATGTCTCTCACACAGCAGAAACAGAAAAACAGGTGCCAGGTACAAGGTTAAATACAATACTTAAACTGTCTTTTATATTAATAACAAATCTTATGAGACAACTTTTAAAAAACATTAAATAATTGGAAGCTAAGCAGTACAAGTTCCCTTTTTAATGCAAGAAAGAAAGAAAGAAAAAACAAGAGGATGTTAAAATTGTAAAATACTCACAGTCTCGGAAAAGCTGTGCAGCAAGTTGGCATAGAAGAAGTTAGGATAAAGTTTGCACTAGTGACAGCAGCAAACGCTCCACCCCTTCTTCCATTCTGTTTTACTTTCAGTTGTTACATAATAATACAGGACTATGTTTGTACCTAGTAGAACGTGGAAATCATTCTCACCACAAATAGCAGATAATAGGGATTTCCCTCTGCCATTTCTGAGCAATTTTAAAACTTGTAAAAAAAAAAATGGGGAAAGACATATGACTGTGATACAGAAGGTAGACATGTGACTGACAAACACGAATGGCAGCTGCTTGCTGTCCCAAGCAGTGACGATCATGCATGCTACCTCTTACCCTTGCATAAAGGGAAGAAAGCACACAGTTTGTGCCCTTATCCCTGCACAGTCCCTTCCCCCCGGCATTGTAGCTTAAAGTTCCCACACAGAGCTCCGAAGAGTTGCTTACCTTGGAAGCAAACACTGCAGCTTTATGTTGTAACTCCTCCTCTTGTCTGCAGCCTGAACAGTATTTTACTGGGGCAGCCACCACAGGAGGGCAAGAGAAGTTGCCTCTTGGGGCAACACCAAGAAAGAAGAGCATGGCCATGGAACAGGGTTGCCAGGACAGAAAAGAGCTTCTCCAAAAGGTACAGCATCTGGCTTGCTGAGGGACAACAGGGCAGAGAGATATCATAGGTCCAGGTGACATCAGAAGAGGATGTCTCCTTATAAAGGAGATGAAAAAATACTCTGCAAATTGCACTGAACTCAAAAGTTGTGGGTTTTAGCTGTTAAGAAAAGTGGGAGTTTCATGCCTATGATCATCACAGGGCATGGCAGCTGTAATCCTAAAGTCCTGCTTAAGACTCCTCACACTGAAAAACCATTCTACTTGAAACTTTAAAGTCCTGAGGATGAGGCTCAGCAGCTCCCTAGGAGTACTCTCAGGTTTCTAGGAACCATCACTTACCTATGTAAGGGTCATGCACTCCAGAGACAACAGTGAAAATGGTACTTCCTCTCTGTGCAATCTTCTTTTTGTCCTCTTCTGGGTGCTAGTTGTTCATGTCACACTCTGTGAGGTGGTAAAAATATTCTGCAGCTAAATGACAGTTTTAGAAATGGCTCTGTCTCCTTACTGAAGAAGAAGAGACGAGTTTCTAGAGTTGGGCATTTCCTTCCTGTTTCTCAGTGAAAGAACATTGTTTCAGGAACACTATTTATAAAACCTGGTGAACAATAGCAGTCAGTTCCCTGTGCTGGGATATTCTATTACAGCCAGATTCAGAAAATCTATTTAAGGACCTAGGTAAAACTTCAATATCTTGAACAGCTGTCACACGGGAGAGAGAAACAGGATTGGAACTGAGTGTTTCCAGAGAGTAGTTCTAGATGGCTGCGTGACAAATACATTATGTGAGGCAGCTTGCTGCCATTTCTCAGCACCCCTGTGCACCGTATCCTGTGGTCCAACTCTTGAGTCCAGCGTCCGTTCTGCAGAGAAGGCACCGAAGTGAAACGCGGCCACGCTGATCAGCTCCTGTACCGAATCTGGTTTGCAGTCACTACCACTGCAAAGAACTTCCAGCAACTTAACACAAGACAAAAAAGTAGAACTCATGATTTCATGCTCCCCAGGGACTCTTGGCTCGCTCCCATGACACTCTGTGTCTGCAGAAAAGCAGCTACTCATGCTCCTTGTACTCAGTCTCAGTGTAGAGTGTTACTATCACTTTTTAAGCAGTTGTGCAGACATGGGAGGTGAAATCTGCTTCGACTGGCAGCTGTTAGAAACCCGAGCAGGATTTCAAAGAGAAAATAAAAGTACAGACTTGGCGGGAATTCTTGCCGTGACAGAGTACAAAAATGGAACTGAAAAGCAGGTACCGGCATTACAGGAAAAAACACCAGTTTAGATAAATATTTAAAACAAAGGAACATACTCTTTTATTAATGTTTATAGACAGTTTATTTAATGTTTATAGGCAGTTTATCAACTGTCTTGTGATAAGGGCACTTCTAAGACCAAAGTGGTCATAAACACCTCTGTTTCTTCAGTTTACTCCAGCCCAAAGAATGAGGGTAAATTATTTCAAGTGTTCATGTGAGTGTATGTATTTGGACTTGGAATCCCACAGTCCCTCATATTTGTCACTGTTTAAAAGAGAAAGAAAATAGATTGTTTTTCATTGCTCTCTGCTTTTTCGTGTGATACCTTTGCTATACTACAATTTGTCAGAATATTCTCAGCTGGGAAAAATTCGTAAGCAAACAGCCAAAAACAAGCACAAAAAGCTTTAGGTATTCATTAATTCTGTGGGAAAAGGGGAAGATTCTATGATTTCAGGTTTTTTTTAAATCACTTTCCAAACAGTTTCCTCTGAACACTGCAAAATGGAAACATTGTATATAGGGTGGATTTTTTTTTTTACCTAGCTCTCTGGGTTTGTTCTTTTTTTAAGAACTATGTTTTGCTGGCATTTCTGAGGTTAAACTATATCAATTTCTAGCTTATTATAAAAACTGTTCCTAAACATTACAGTAGCTGTATCTAAAAATAATAATGCAAGTGTCAATATGTATCACATTGCAATAGGGTGGCAATACCACTTGCACTCCTCGAAATGTAATTCTCGTTCATTTCCTTAATTACACAAAAATGTGCTTCCTAATTACACAATGGACATTTTATAGACATCTAAACACTACTAGCCATGTCAAGGTGTTTATTTCTAGCATAAATTCTTCTCATACTCTCCTACAAGCAAAATACCCCTTTCTAATTTATGCAAGTTTCATTTATAGTGGACACAGGCTATTTGGCAAGCTATGGCAATTACTCTCACTAATGAGCTACTAACTTGTAATTTAGCATTATAAGTGCAGTGACAAAAATGGGAATAACTTACATCATGCAAACAGTAAAGTGAAAACAGATGCATGAATGTCATTTTTAAAAAATCATAGAATCATTGAATCATAGAATCTTTTGGGTTGAAAGGAACCTTTAAAGGCCATCTAGTCCAAACCCCTGCAGTGAGCAGGGACATATTCTACTAGATCAGGTTGCTCAGAGCCTCAACCAACCTGACCTTGAATATTGCCAGGGATGGGGCATCTACCACCTCTCTGGGCAACCTGGGCCAGTGTTTCACCACCTTCATTGTGAAAAATTTCTTCCTTACATCTAGTCCAAATCTGCTCTCTTTTAGTTTAAAACTGTTACCCCTTGCCTTATCGCTACAGGCCCTGCTAAGAAGTCTGTCCTCATGTGTCTTCTAAGCCCCCTTGAAGTACTGGAAGGCTGCAATAAGGTCTCCCTGGAGCCTTCTCTTCTCCAGGCTGAACAACCCCAACTCTCTCAGCCTGTTCTCATAGGAGAGGTGTTCCAGCCCTCGGACCATTTTTGTGGCCTCCTCTGGACCCTCTCCAACAGGTCCATGTCTCTCCTGTGCTGAGGGCCCCAGAGCTGGACACAGCCCTGCAGGTGGGGTCTCAGCAGAGCGGAGTAGAGGAGCAGAATCACCTCCCTCAACCTGCTGGCCACACTGCTTTGGATGCAGCCCAGGGTACGGTTGGTCTTCTGGGCTTCGAGCGCCCGGCTTCGAGTGCCCATTGCCGGCTCATGTCCAGCTTTTCATCCACCAGCACCCCCAAGTCCTTCTTGGCTGCGCGGCTTTCAATCCCTTCATTTCCCAGCCTGTATTGATACCGGGGGTTGCCCCAACCCAGGCGCAGGACCCTACACTTGGCCTTGTTGAACCTCATGAGGTTCATGTGGGCCCATTCCTCAGGCTTGTCCAGGTCCCTCTGGATGGCATCTCGTCCCTCAGGCATGTCAACAAATAAAACAGGATAACTGAAAATTCAAACATGAGCATCCTGATTTGAAGCAACGATGCCCAAACATTTTGTGCAGCTGCACAACAGCCAACAGTTTGGTTTTGCCATACTCTTAAAAGTTTGCCCGTATTCTCACAAGATTAATTCATTTGGAATTGGTGTTAGTTCTGTTGCTGAAGACTAGATGAGGAAGTATTGCTACAGGAGCAAGAGTGAAGAAGTGGGAGGGAAGAAGGCTTTTCCAGAGCAGTGTGATGTGGGTGATTATACAAAAATGCCATGTTTTCTGAAAGTAGCCTGGAAAAAATGGCAGTTCTTGCAGAACTTGCCAGATCCCTTCAGCATGGCCCCCAACTGACCCAGCTCAGACACAGCTTTCTTTGCTAAATTTCCAAATGCTTAAAGATGGGACTGCTGTACGCTCTTCTCACCTACTCTGTCAGTATCGGTTCTTTTAAAAAAAAAGTCTTGAAATGGAGGCCTTCTCTGATAAGACGTGAGCTCTCATAAGATGTTATGCTCTGACAAGCATAATGTTTTGGGTTTTTTTAAATCCCAAATTTTCAGAGAACCTGAACCCAAACATACAGGCAGATGCAGAGGACAGTAATTGCAATTTGAATAGTGTCTCTTCCTGAGCATTTTTTTTTGTTACAGTGTTCCTGCTGTGTTTGAATGTTTGCTGCAGGGTTGAACACCCTCAATTATCAACCTCGTGAATTTCTGCATAGGAAAATGAAAGAACTGTTGTCGTCTTCCTCTAGGTGACAGTGGATATAAAGAGCTGATAAGCAGATACAGCTTTGGCTCCCCCGTTCCCAGTGTGGCAGCCAGAGGGGCTAACTCAGGAGGAAACAGCCTTCTGTCTCTGAGGAGTCTCATCCCAGTCATCCCACCAGCATTCACCATTACTGCACGTTGTTTCAGCTAAGGTGAGCCTTGATTCTTGTCATAGTGGCCAGAAGCAGAGTGCCTTACTCCTGAGCAGGACAGTACCAAGGGGAACTTGTATGATGAGGGAGTTACATAAATCTGTCTTTGATATATGCTAGGAACGTGCATTTCTGGAAATTATAATCTCCAGCAAATCATACGCATAACTGAATTTGAGAACTGTCCTGCACCAGTGCTGTAACAACACATAAACCAATATTCAAGTCTGAAATAGTTCCGTGGCAGGGTTATTGCTGTAATAAATAGAACATGTAGTATGCTACATGTGTTACTAGGTGGGAATGTGTACCTTCTGAAAATCTAGGCAACTTGTGTTTCATGGATGGTACAGGACTATAGATAACCTGTCTCTTTTTTTTGTCATACAAAATTATAATGTGTCCTAAATTATAGACTCTTCAGATTGGTTATTAAAAATTTCAGGCTTCTCAAAAATGCTATTTAATTTCTAGACACATTTGGAGAAACATTAATATTCTGCCTTTCAGGAGGATGTACAATATCTGGCACGTTATAATTTATCAACTATTGCCACTAAACGTGAGCTATTCCTATTTAAAGAGATACTATTTCCAAGCAAAACCATATCAGTTGCTACGTTAGCAAAAACAAAACAAAGGGAAAGGCATTTAACGCTTAAAATGAGTAGGAATATGTTTCTGAGTCTGTGAAAATAGCTAACGCAGAGAAATGTGCAGCTCTTAGCTGGAGTCTTGTGAGGAACCTATAATCATAAGTGTTTTGTTTAGTGCCTTGTGAACAAGCACTATCCTATTTAGACGACATATTTGCAATATTGCAGCTAAAAGTTTTCCTGAAAAAGTTGCTCTTTAAATTGCATGATAAGATAAGGAAAATCCTACACAAAATAAAATAAATATGTCAATAAAAAAGCTGGCTAACTTCTGAAAAGGCGTGTCTTCACTATAGCAGTCCTCTCAAGTTATACTTGTGTTATTTCTCTCTGTGTTAATCAACCCTGAGTGGAGTGGCCAGACCATAAAACTCTTGCAGTCCACACTGTCTCAGTGGTCTCTGATTAGAGAGCTACGTGCCAAATTCACAGAACTGTTAGTGAACCTAATCCTTTATTTAAGTTTCTACAGGAATAATTCTCTACTCAAATACTTCTTTGAAGTTAGGTGCTGTGCCACTTGACTTTAGATGAGTGGGCGCTTTCTGAACTGGGTAGCTGGAGCTCAGTGCAGTGCCTTGGGAGTCAGGCACATTTCGCGGTTAGGTTTCACATACTGAACTGTCTAAATTAGCCAATTAGCAGGGCTGGGAAAAGCCTTTTGAGGGTTTAAGTGCCCTTGGCTGCACTGGCCATGCCTCCAACCAGGATGCATAACTCAGGATCCTCCCCTGAAAGCAGTGCCATTCTTCAGTTTAAAGCACAGCATCCAAGACATGTGTGAGTCAATTATTATTATCTTCACTAGGGAAGTGTTTCTTAACAGAAATTCCAGAACGGTGAATTGAAGAATTAAAATGTAACATTATAAGAATGAAACTGAATCACTTGGAGGGGCTGGGGCGGATTCTTTTCCTCAAAGCTGACTGTTTGTCAAAATAATTTGTCAAGATCTCTCAGTGTTAGTCCATGTAGACACCTTCTCTGAGGTTAACAGCCTGCTTGCGGCTCACTTTGCCATTTGTAGTTGAAGCTTTCAGGGATGCAGGAGAATTAGATCCTAACCCATATGACGACGCAAGTAACTAAGTCCTACTGAAAAGGAATAAGATACAAAAGAGAGGTCTGAAAGAGATAAGAATACAACTGAGTAATAATATGCATTCTATCAAGATTATTTCCCTTTTTTTCTCTTTAATACTAAAATACAGTAACCATGACATATGTATCATATTTCTCATTTGATAATACTGTTTTATCGT